GCCTTCGCGGACGTCAGGCCCTTAGAAGATCAGCTAGAAAGGCTTATAGAGGACTTCGTGCCCCACGAGGGGTGTTCTAAGGTCCAACGGATAGTTTACGCTGATTGGGAGGAGCTCCCCTTCTTCTTCGACAGTGACCCCGTAAGGGTTCCCCGATTTATCTTCGAGAGGGTCTACCCCTCCGAGGCTGTCAAAGAGGCGGTCGAACAGAGGATCTCAGTCCTAAGGCAGTTCAGGCTCACTAGGACCGACCTCCATTCGCTGTTGACGTGGTGCCTTCTTCGCCCCTACGAGGACAGTTGGGCCTCCTTGGAAGGGTTGGAGTATAATTTCGAAGGCTGGACTCAGCATATAAAGACATCTACCGTGACCTGGAGGTATTTCGGGGCCATATCCGAGATCGGTCTGAGGGGGTTGAACCCCACTGAGCTTATGCGGATAGCCATCGCCTGTAAGAGAAGGGCCCTTAGAGATGAGCGAGAGAGACGATAGGCCTTTGGCAGGGATAGAAAGGGTAAGAGAGGAACTAAGTAGGGTCTTGACCCTGTGTTGGGAGGAGGAAAGAAGAGGTGGAGCGGGGGCTTTAGGTGGAATCAAGATAATCGAGGTCGCCACGGTAAGGATACTCGATGAGGCCGCGGAAGAGCTCCGTTCTGAGGGAAGTGAGGCATGAGGGCTAGGTTTACCTCCGGAACTGTGAGCTGGGAACTCCAAGTATACGTAAGGGGTGGCGAAGTAGAGATTGAAGAGGGGGCCGAGCTTAGCCCGGGGTTAGAGTTAGATTTGGCGACGCAAGCAGAGAAAGGGTTTTTCTTGGAAGCCCGGCGGTTAGCCTTGTAGAAAAGAAGGGTCGAGACCTCCTTGGCAAAGTTCGAAATCCATATTAGAAGCGCCGGTGGAGTCCGGTTCTATAGAGCCTGGAGGGAGACCCTTATAGAAGTCGAGAGGAGGTTCGAGAGAGACGCACGGTGGCTAGGAAGAGAAGTTGAATCTAGGATTCACTTGGTGGAGGCTCGATTGTGGGACAGGTCTGGCGAGTATGAGGAGGCCTTGAGGCAAGCGAATCAAGACTTGAGGAGCCAGAGGAGGTGTGAAGATTCCTTAATCCGGGTCGCCGAGAGGCTAAGTAGGGTGAGGTAGAGATAGCTGATGATTCGGTACGAGAGAGGGGACCCCGTTGGGACCTTGGAAAGATCTTGGAAGTGTCGCGACAGGTATGGGGTGACTCTCCCCAGGATTGAAGAGGAAGGGGAAGTTACCTCGGAATTCTTCAAGATTTACGATCGGGAAACACTAGTCCGTTTCTCGGCTAGGATGATAGACGGTTCCTGCGCTAAGAAAGCCGATATCTTTTTGTCCCCAGACGATAGACAGTTCTTTGCCACCGAGTTGGCGAAAGGTAAGGACCCCTTGGGTATCGCAGAGAGGATTGGGAGCTGCCTCGGGAGACTGAGGGGTGGTTCGACTGAAGGATAGGTGACGGAGAAAATAGAATACCGAGGCCCTTTAGAAATTCCGAGAGCCGCGAGTAGCAAGGGTTGTGAAGTTCCCACGTGGGTCTATAGGAGACTCTATCCGGACGCCGCCGCGGTGAGGAAGCTGCAGATTCGAGGGCAAGTGATCGAGAAGTTTCCGTTGGGAGAAGAGAAAGGCCACGACCTGTTCACCCTGTGTTGGGAGTCCTTGGAACTTACGGACTTCGAGTGGTGGGCCTTACTGGGGGAGTTCATTAGGCCCCTGTTCTCAGGGCAGGCCGGCGAGGTAGATAGAGACTTAATTAGACGGTGTGCTCAAGAAGGAGTCAGGGGTCTCACCGATCTAGAAGTCGCCGACCTGGCCATAGCCGCCTGTGAGGAAAAGAGGGTGAGGGACTCTTGGTGGACTGTGATGAGCGAAGAGTCAGGGAATTCGGAGAGTGAATCCGAGGACGGGAGTGACTAGGAGACGGTGTATGGAAAGTTACGTTGATCACGAGGTGACTCGATCGCCGGGGGGGAACAGCCATGGGGCGAGCCGAAGAAGATACGGACTTAGGGGCGAGATTGAGTAAGTCAGTCGATGCAATGACTGAGGGGATGGGTGTCTTAGGGAGTGGCATCAGGGATATGGAAGAAAATCATGAAGAGAGAGCGTCGGGACAGCGAGGGGGCCTGGAGGAGCGATCACACCGGGAGGTGGAGCCTAGAGTACTCGCCAGGGAACTAGTGACGGCTGGCCCTAGGGTCCTCCCTGTAGAAACTCGATGGGCGGAACAGATGGACCTAGAGGAGAGGATTAACGAAGGAAGAGATCTGCCACGAGATAGGCTCGGGGTCCGGCCACCTAGGCGAGGTGAGGAAGGCAGCCCGAGAAGAAGAGAACAGGGGGAAGTGCGGGTGACGGAGCTCGGAGGGGTCCGCAGAGATGGGTCGAGAGAGAAAACGTTTCCGGGTGGATGGCAGGAGAGGCCGCGGGTAGAGGTGAAAGGAGATTGGAGGACCCTTGGAGAGGGGGCAGGATGCGAGAAGCCGGGCCTTGGGACTATGCCGAGCCGGATGACAGGTTTCGGGGGCCTTGGGGACCTCCACGGGCTTGTCCTCGAATGGGGGATTTTGACCTATCTTGGTATAAGCTATATGACCCTGCTACTGATGGGTCTGCCGAAGGGCCGTACTTCCGCCGATATGATGATAGGAGGGTCCCATATTACGATGTGAACATGGGATTGGAATCCCTCTATTTCAACGGTCGGGACGTAACCGGGTTCATCGAGAAATGGGAAAGCTACGCATACCGTAAAAAATTCTCGGAAAAGGAATGGATAGACCACTTCATTCAACATTCGGACCCCGAGCTGGACCAAGCCATCAGGGCACTCTACCCCGCGGACGGACGATGAAGGACTTTCATGAGCAGCCTGCTAAGGATCTTCGCTTGTGACGACATGATCCCTACGATAGAGGGGTTGCGTCGGGTCACGAGGGGGGAGCAAGAGAGCCTGGCGGCCTTCACCCGAAGGTTCAAGCGACTGTCTCAGGCCCTGGTGGATAGGGGCATGCTCTCTGAAGTCGACAGGTGCGTGATGTTCATGTTGCACCTACCCGAATAGAAGAGGAAAGAGGTCTTGGAGAAGGCGCCTAGAGACTCGGCCAACTTCGATAGGGTAGCGGAAGTTGTCTTTACCGGAGGAGGGGTAGATGTGAGGGAATATATGAAAGAGAGTTTGGACATGGCACTTCGTAGCATGAAGGGCCAAAAGGGGGACGGGTTTCGCGGAAATGAGAGGCCACCGCCTGCGCCACCGGACCCACGATGGGGGAGCGGTCCCGCTAACTGGAGAAGTGAGCCGGGGAACCAGAAAAATTGGGGGAATGAGTCTGGAAACCAGGGGAATTGGAGGAACGAACGAGAGAACCAAGGGAGTCAGAATTCGGAATGGGGGAACTCCCGCTGGAAAGACACCAAGGATGGTAGGTGGGGCGATCCGCCTCCACCTCGACCCACAGGGGTCCGCCAAGAGGCACGACCTCCGAGGCGGACACCACCTCCCGGACCCCCAACAACGGCGAATGCCCCTGCGCAAGGCACCCCTCGGTTGGGGAATCCTCCACCACGTAGCGGATGTGTCTACTGCAATGAGGAAGGTCACGTAAAAAGGGACCGTTCGTACCTTACAGAGGCCTTGTGATTGGGAGTGGTTAAGTTGAATGAAAACAAATGGGTGGTCTGGGAGGACAACGGTGAGGCAGTGTCCTTCTACCCGTCGCTCAAAGTCAACGTGGATAAGAGGATAGCCTTAAGAGAGGCCAGGGAAGGCAAGAAGCCCGAGGTAGGGGGTACCTCGAGCACCTCTCGGATCCAAATGGCGGAGACATCTGGAGGAATTGCCATACGGGAACACCAAATATCTAGTATCAGTTTCATCGAGACCCGGCCCGAGGATGAGGAACCATGTTTGAGGGTAAGGACACAGGCTGGAGCCGGGCCTTCCAAGGGGAAGATGGCAGAAGTAGCAACCAAAAATAGCGACAACGACCAGCCCATGTTAGACGCCAAGGGCGCGGAGGAGAGAAGGGGGGAAGGAACCCACCTCTCCAAAATCTCCTTGGAAAAAGGGGGTAAAGAAATTCGAGATGAAATGCGCCTTGGACAAGATAGACACCGTAGCCCCCTTAAGGAGGACCCTGATGCAGCCAATGCAATGCACCCTCCTGGAGTATCTGGCGGCCAGTAAGAATGCGAGGGACGAACTCCTGAGCATCACGAAGAAAGTGAGGATTCCCCTCACCGGCGGACCTACGGTGCCGACGGAAGAGCCCGCTAAAGAGGGGGCGCAATCGTCACGGATCACCACGGAAGAGCTGCCGACGAACGTCTTCGAGGAAGATGGTTCCAAAAAGTTCTATGTGCTCGGGAGTGGTCAGCTCGAGGCCATAGTGAGTGGGAAAAGGATGAAGGCCTTGGTGGACAACGGGTCCGAATCTACCGTGTGTAGGGATTCAATCGCAAAAGAACTGGGCTTGGACGTGGATCGGGGTGTGTACATGTCCATGGTGGTCGCAGACAACAAGTTGCAGCCCGCTGAGGGGGTGTGTCACAGCCCCATCATCGAAGTCGCGGGCGTGGAGGCCACCGTCCCTATATTTTCTGTGAAAGAATGTTCCTCCGAGTTGATTCTTGGAAGAACCTGGTTGAGTGCCGTACACGCCACCACCGTCGATCTTCCGGATGGGAGCCAAACCCTCTCAATCCTGAGCCCTGACGGGATCCTGAAGACGGTGGACGCGCAAGACAAGAGGAATAGGACCCATATCCCTAGACGCGGGGAGACCCTAACGAGAGTGTGCCAAGTCCGTTTGGAGGACCCTCCCTTTACCTTGAAGGAACCACCGGGGGACCGACTAGAAATTGAAGATTTGGGAAGTAGGATCATAATCGACGGAGTAGGGTATGGCAAAGAGGACGATGAGGAGGAGTTTGGTGGGTGCATCAGGCTGTCTTTTTTGGAGGGATCCCCCTAGCCGGTGGAACTAAGAAGCATAAAACCGTGGCGGAAAAAGTAAAACCCGCCGCGGTCAGCCGGGATAGAACGGGGGAAGCAACGATATCGGAAGAAGAAATAGCCGATATCATCCGAAAAAGGAAGGAGACTGAAGGACAAAGAATCACAACGGATAGGCTGGCTAAGATGGATATAGGAGATGGGAACCTCACGGACAAGGAAAGAGAGTATGTGGCCATGACCTTGAGGGACTGCGACAAGGCAATAGCCTTTGACGAGTCGAAAAGGGGTAGGATTGACCCTCGATATGCCAAGCCAGCCCGGATCCATACGATCCCGCACGTACCCTGGAAAGATAGGCCTCGATGGAAATATGCTCAAAAGGAGAAGGAGGAGATTGTGGCCTTTCTCAAGGAAAAGATCCGGACTTTTGTTGTGGAGCCTTGTGAGAGTGCCTACTCGAACAAGTGGTTCTTCCTGAGAAAAGGGGGCAGTAACAAGTTAAGATGGATCCAAGACCTCCAGAGAACCAACGCGGTCACGATAAGGGACGTAGGTTCGATACCCGAGGCCGATTTGCTTGCCGAGGGGTCGGCAGGCCGATCAATATATTCGATCTGTGACCTATTCTCGGGATACGACGAGATCCCCTTGGACTATCGAGACAGGCACATGACCGCCATGCATACGCCACTAGGGCTGGTCCAAATGATGGTCATGCCGATGGGATGGACCAACGGGGTGGCCGTCTTCCAAAGATCCATGATCACGGTCCTTAAAAAATTCATACCGGACAAGGTGGAAGTCTTTCTGTACGACTTTCCTATAAAGAGGCCGATTGAGCGTGACGAAACGGAGGTCTTGCCCGGGGTGAGAAAGTTCGTGGCAGATCACATGACCGATCCGACTATAGCCCGGTGGATGATCCACATTAGGCTGTACGATTACAGGGTCGAGAGGATCTCCGGGACCAAGAACCAGGTCGCTGACGGGCTAGCTCAGCTGCCGATAAGAGAAGAGGATTATCCGAGATTGGAAGAGGCGGAAGCGGCCGTGGCCAAAGGAGAGACTATCCGCGTGGCTTCCAATAGGGCGCGAGCGGGGGTGATCATCCGAGAGGTTAGGGAGAGGCGTGAGATATTCCTAGCCAATCTCTATGACGGTAAGTATCGTGACATAGGACTGTACCTGACCGGTAGGGAAGAAGGCACTGAAGCAATCAAGAAGGAAGCACTCGGGTATTGCTTACGAGTGGGACACCTCTTTAAGAGGCCTACGAAGTTTGCAATTCCCATGCGAGTACTCTGCGATCCAGAAGAAAGGAAGGCAGTCATAGAGGAGTTACACGACGGGATTGTCGGGGGTCATAGAGGGGTCAAAGGGACCTTTGACAAAGTTCGTAGGCTCTACTGGTGGGATGGACAGTACGTGGAGGTCGAGAAATACTGTTCAACCAGCGAGACCTGCCAAAAGAGGGCGACCGTTCGGTATAAGGAACCCTTAGTGTCGTCGCTACCCTCTGCCCCTGGCGACAAGGTTCATATCGATTTGGTAACCATGCCAAAGGGAGTCGGAGGGCTTAGATACATGATCAATGCCCGGGACGACCTTACCGGATTTGTGGAGGCCAAGGCCATTAAGAAGACGACCGAGGAGGTGAGTGACTTCCTCCTTGAATATATCACAAGGTACGGGTGCGTCGGGAAGATAGTGATGGATAGGGGGTCCGAGTTCCTGAGTCAAAAGGTCCAGGTGCTATTGGAGAAAGCAGGGATCAAGGCGGCCTATACCACCGCCTACCACCCCCAAAGCAATGCGCCAGCAGAAAGGGGGCACCAAACACTGGTGGACGCCCTAGCAAAATGGTGCAAAAGCCGCGCCGAGCAATGACCAAGGTACTTACGGTATGCGGTTTGGGCTGATAACATCACGGTCAAATCCAGTACAGGGTACCCTCCTTACACCCTCTGGTTCGGTAGGCATTGTCCCCTGCCAGCCGAGTTCCACGTGGACACTTGGACAAGTGTCTCATGGAAGACTGACATGACCCGAGGAGAACTGTTGGAGGCAAGGATACGGCAAATCGCCGAGAATTTGGACGCCGAAGTAACCGAGGCAGGGGAGAAGGTTGAGAAGGAGAGAGTGAAAGGGGAGGACAGGTGGGATCAGAATATGCGAGTCCGGAAAACGCCGATAGGGGTCAACGACCTGGTCCTGATGTACGACTCGTCCCTAAAAAAGACCTGGAGCCGAAAATTAGCTAACCGATGGATGGGGCCTTACAAAGTTCTGAGGAGATTGGATGGGGGAGCGTATATACTCACCGAATTATATGGGACTAGGCTCCGGGACCCTATCGCGGGGGCTCGCCTCAAACTCTTCCGACCTAGGGGGACCCTCGTGGAAGAGCCGAAGCGTAAGGGGAAAGAAGCAATGGACGATGGAGGGTCCGCTACCCGCGAAATGGGGGAGACCTCCAAACAAGGGGCCCCATCTCGACTGTCAAAGAAGGGATACACAGCCCGAAAGCCTTCGCTACCAAAGACCCCTAGGAAGAGGAAACGACCTAGAGAGAATGACTCGGGCTCTGACCGGGTTCAGAAACGCAGGTTGAAGGAAAGGAGAGACGCTTTGAGCAAGACCTTTAGGCTCAAACGCGAGAGAGAGAAGAGGAAACGGGAAAGAGAGAGGCGAGAGAAGAGGATGAGGAGGCGAAGACAGGTGTAGGATCCCTTGGGAGGATAGGGAGTTATGTACCATAGCTAGAGGAACGTGCGTCATAAGGAAGGACAGTACCATAACTGAAAAACTCAAAAGGGGAGATGTACCTCTTTTAGGATGGGTGAATAACGAAGTTTCGGCCCAAAAAGGAAATAAGGGGGGGCTGTGGTATAATAGGTAGGGAGAGGGGGAAAAAGAAGGAAACAAAAGACGAATAACTTAGTCTCAAAAATGGGTGACACGCTAAGACCTTGGGGGGAGGGGTATGAGACCTGACCAGGAAAAAGGGGGGGAATAGACTTCCTGGGTCAACACAGGGGTTAAAAGGAAAGGCTCGCCGGGGACGGCGAGAACTGGGGTGTGGGCTGGTTGTCGGGCGGCGGCCTATCAACTGAAGCCCTTTTCTTTCCGGAAACAGGGAGTTTTCAAACCATTTCTTTATTGCATTTGCATGGTTTTGATGTCTGTCTGCGTGTGGTTTTGAGGTCTGTGGGTGAGTCTGAGTTCCGGTCTTCGTACTAACCCTCAATGGGTGGAAACGGTGGTTCGAACCAAGGTCGTAAGCGGGCTCAGGTGGGTTCCTAAAGATCGAGGTTTTCGGTGACTAAGGCAGAAATCATAAGGGTGGTGGTTGACTTGGTGGAGGGCCACAAAAAACCTCAAGAGGGCCTGGGAGGATCAGAGACGGACCATTGGGAGCTGTTGAGCTACACAGTCTTAACCAAGGACGCGTGACATTGGAAGGAGTACATTTGAATGGGTCTCGATGCACATGAGGTCGTTGGCAGGCACCGTGTCGATAAGTTCCAAGGATCCGCTTTGAATCGTCAGGGGACCGGGAGAGGTTTCCGGCGCGAAGAAGTCGGGGCGCAGCAAGATCGGCCTGATGCGATGTGCTACTAGCTTTTGCAAGTGCCATGATAAGTTCCGCCCTCGACGGGCTTGGAGAGCAGGGCAACTTAACCACGTTGCGAGGCCAGCGTTATCAAGGGGGCGGAAAAAGCGAAAAGGTAGACCGACAACTATAGGTGAATCTAACCAGGGCGGCCGAGCGAAGCCGGTAACCGGGAAATTACAGGAATTGGGAAGGGGAAATCCAAATGGCGATATTGACACCAGGCGGATGAGCAGAAGAGGATCTGCCAAGACCACTTCTTGGCAACCGACGTCAAAGAAGACGTGGGAGAGGGGTTAAGAACGCATCAGGATCAGAGCTAGGCCAGGTACAGGCGTTACCAAGAGGCAAAAAAAAAAAAAGGAAGAAGACGGGCGGGCGCAGGCCAGAGCTCAATAAGCCAGGAGYTGGGGCTCGCCCCRGGAAACGAACAGGCGAGATCGGGTTCGCTGAGTCCGCGAGCGGGAACRCGAACARACGCTAACACCTTCTGGATCYAAAAGCAAGAGAGGGGGCGCKACGACTGGTCGGGAAGGAAGGAGGAAGGAATCTTGGAAYKCTAACCGAATGGAGATGGTGYGCATGCCCTAGGATTCTTGCTAACCGTCGGAGGGGCCGCCTGCCACGAGCATCCCGCCCAGAACTGAGCAGAGTACACAAAGGAAATGTACTTGGACTAGGCCAGAGGCTGCGGGTGATCGATCAAAGAAGTCTAAGAAGAGGATCGAGATCGCGCCGGCCAGCCACTAGTGGTCGATCCGACTACCGAAGGAAGGTTGAGTCCTATTGGATGGCGAGGCGTGAGCAGAGCTTGGGGAGATTCAAATTTTGCGCGCCTAGAAGTTCTTGCTAACCTCCCAAGAGAGGGAAGCGAAGGAAGCAGCATAGGGTGGAGTTCGAGGAGCGAGGAACGCCCGCAGGGATGTACCCGAGCAAGGCGGTCTACAGGCTAACCAAAGCGAGATGTCGGACTCGGGGGTGTGACTCTTATTCCCGGTCATCAGACAACAGAGGAAGGGACAAATCCTATCAGGGCGGGGAGCTCCGCGACTAGCTGATTGCGAAGAAGGAGGATGCGACCTTGGGAAGCGGGTAGGTTCCTTCGAAGGAAGGCGGAAGGTTGAAATTTTGACGAAATACGATCGGGGGGGATTGAAAAACGTAACGTATGGTTGGCGGGAGAAATGCATGAAGGAAAGAGCGTGCTGATTGGAAGAAAGGGAAGAGGGGAGGATCGATGCGAAGGGAAAAAAAAAGTATATAAGAAAGGAGGAGGAAAAGGGGGGGGACGCGCACGAGAACGGCGTACGTACGAGCGCACGAGTGGCCGCTCCAGTGTCGCCGAGCCAATGCTCCGTTGAGGGTTCGTCGGGGAGTCGTTCGGGAAGGAGGCTGAGCTGCGCTCGTAAGGGCAGGGGCTACGGGCGATCGCGAGAGAGAGGGAGAGATTGAAGACCTGCGCTCGGAGCGGCGGGGGCGACCGAGAGGGAGAGAGAGAGAGATTGAAGACCTGCGCTTGGGGCGGCGGGCCATCGACAGTTGTGTGGCGATCCCAAAGAGAGAAAAGTATGACCCCTGCGCAAGGAGGATACACATATAGACAGAAACAAAGATTATGAGAGAGATAATCATTGATACATGACCAGTTGGGCAATGTATGTACAACCAAGGATCCGCAATGTGATGAAATGGACTGAATGGACAATGCGAGGTTAGCGAATCATCAATAGGCAATGTACATCCTGATACATACAAAATGGCACTCAATAGCGCAGCGGAAGACTTCAAGATAAGTCGTGACCTGACCGGGACTGACACCACATCCCATCATCCATCACACATATGAGAGGAGGAGGGACCGCACACCAAGAAGAAAGGTCCCTCCTTGTACACACACATGCAGAGATACCACAGACGAGGGATGGAGGGAGAGGAAGAACGAAGATGGAGGCGAGGGAGAAGTCCACGATCGCAATAGCAAAGTCAAAAATAGTCCCTTATCGATGTCCAATCAATGTCTGCCTCAGAAATGTCGAATCAAATCATGGGCAATATGCCCACCGTAACCTCTGTCGATATCCTCTGCCAATAGCCTCTCTTACTCTCATATCAGAAGAAGAAGATGCGGAAGAAGGAGGGGGAAGGAGGGGGAAGGAGGGGAGAGAGAGAGAGAGAGAGAGAGAGAGAGAGAGAGAGAGAGAGAGAGAGAGATGAGATGGAGGGTGAGGAGGAAGAAGAACGTGCCGCCCTCATCCCTGTCTCACCTGCAGGTAGTTGCCGCCATGCTGACTATCTCGTCATCCTGTGCAGGTACCGCACGGAGTCCCAACTATGGCCCCCTCTCTCTTCTCCGTGGGCCTCTCCTCCCTAGCTCAGCAGCGCAGCGCTAGAATAGCGCAGCCTCCAACAAGAAGTGTGTCACTCAAGAAGTGAGCAACCGAACCGTGTCCTGCCCAGCGTGAGGCCCAACTCTATAGTGCACTGGGCCCTACTGGGTAACCTGCTGTGTGGCCTAAAATGGCCAGCAAGGTCGAGGTCCCTACCGGGGTCTGGACCGTGTGGCTGATGCAGCAAAGCGCAAAAATGCGCCTGGGCCTGTTTCGGCCCTGCGACCAGTGCACCCAGCCCAAGACCGTTGTGGGCCTGTCCCCCGGTCATCAGCGACTCGTGGAACCTGCTGGTTTACCCGCAGTTCGGGGGCCCGACCGCGCCGCCCTGAGCAAGTCACCATCGCCGACAGAGTTCCACCCCCAGCTGCCCTTGTGAGTACCCCCTCCCCCAGCCTTTCTCCTCCTCCCTCGAAACCACCCGAGGGTACACGACCCCACCCCGAGGGCTTTAGGAAGATCTCTACGGCGCCAAAATTTTTGGAGTGGCCTTGCCCCTAAACCCTTGGCTTGTCCGCCGCCCACAGCACCCGCGAATGGTGCTCGCTCTGAGGCCCTCCGAAGACCAGCGGGTTCGACAATGGCCCTTTTCCGGAAAGGGAATCAGGCTCAGAACCCTATTGGGGCTCAACCATGCTGCGTTCAAACGGGAGAAATGCTGAGGCCGGCCCAGTTCGCCGCCCACCCGAGCTCTTTTTCGAGGCACAAGCGAGCTCGATCTCGCGGCTCGAGACAGGCGAAGCTCTCCTGGATCAGAAACCAGACCGACCCCGAGGGGTTCAGGACCACAAATTCTCGAGGCTTCCGGCGCAGGAGCACTGCCGAGGCCCGGACCCTCCASGGCTCGATCCCTCCTCMRATGGACACGGGTTCGCAGATCAGAATTCGCCGTTGCACCTAGCCTGAACCCGTAACTGCGAGGGCACGCCGTGACCCAACTCAAGAGTGGTCCAGAACTTGCCAAAGCGAGTGGACGAGGTCACGAAGCTCAAAGCTATCTTCACGGTGCGTCCAAGCTCGGGGGCGGTGAACGCAAGAACGAACGTACCAAGTCGTCAAGCTCAACAGCGACCTACAGCTTGCCATAAGGAACTCACAATGTTGTCAAGCCCGACCCGCGAGAAGGGACACACTCTAGTATCAAGAACGGAAGAGAGCGAGAACACGCAAGCTCTCGAGCACAGAGACCCACGACCTGCGAGAAGGAACTCACAATGTTGTCAAGCTCAGTCAGCAAAATTGAACACACACTGGAATTGAGATCCAAGGAGAGTGCGAACGCATAGGCGCCGAAGCGCAAGCACTCACAAAGTTATCGAGCTCAGCCCTCAAGAATGCACACACACACTCGTATCGAGATCCAAGGAGAGAGCGACCTCACAGACTCCCTGGCACAGGAACTCAACAATGTTATCTAGCTCTGCCTTCAAGAATGAACACACCCACTCGTAACAAGTTCTATGGAGAGCGCGAGCGCACAGGCTCCCGAGCCCAGGGACTCGCAATGTTATCAAGTTCTGCCCTCAAGAGTGAACACACACACACTCGTAACAAGATCCAAGGAGAGCGAGCACGCTGCACACTCTCTCTCTCTCTCTCTCCCTCTCTGTCTCTCTCTGTCTCTCTCTCTCTCTCTCTCTCTCTCTCTCTCTCTCTCTCTCTCTCTCTC